CGTCTTTCTTTCTTCTTCTTCTTCTTCTTCTTCTTCTTCTTCTCCTTCTTCTTCTTCTTCTTCTTCTTCTTCTTCTTCTTCTTCTTCTTCTACTACTACTACTACTACTACTACTACTACTACTACTACTACTAGTCTACTACTACTACTACTACAGGAGATGGCCCACCTGCTCGAAACGGGGTCCAGTGTCCAGCTGTAGTGTACACATCAATTATACAGAAAGAGCACCCTAGATCCTCATAACCGATTCCACCAAAAGACTTCTGGAAGATCCACTACTCCGTACAGCTCATAACCAGCAGCAGAGCATATTGCGAAGACTCTGCTGCTGCAACCCCTTCTTTGTGGCTACCTCAGTTCTCAGTTGCATGAAAAACTAGGGTGCTATTAATATCCTATTATCAAATTTCTCAAAGTGGGTTGAGTGGAGGCGTCCCCCAAGCGCAGCCTATCCCCTCCTCCTCCAAAAACTGCTGAGTAGAGCATAATACTTCTGGCCACCTTTTCCCCCAGAGCAATCTATGTTGACTTCACATGCAATTACCAAAACTTTCAAGGCCAATTTTTGTATCGGCCAATTTTTGTATCAGCCAATTTTTGTATCGGTTAATTTTTGTATCGGGTAATTTTTGTATCAAACAGCAGCAAGGACAACATTATTAGTGGCTACAGTTTTCTCCCAAATAGAACGCCCCGGTCGCTATATCTGTATTTAGGGTAACTTTCAGTCTGGATACAACTATAATGACCGGGTGTTCTATCCGGATGAGAACGGTAGTGCTTGCCCAGCAAAAGGACTGGCTTTGCGTCCGTTTTGCTAGCCCGAGTTTCAACTGCATTTGGAACTCGGGGCGCGACTGAAGAGCAAAAACGGTGTTTCGAATGCATTTACAAACTGTTTTAGAGGCCGCCGCGTAGTGACCCCAAACAGAGAACATTGTCGTCCTCCTGTGCAGCGATGACAAGCAGTTGCGGGCCTCTCCCTTTTTTCCGAGTATAGAAGTTGAGTACCCTCAAGTTGTGCCAAATAGTCGGTTCATGCTTGTACAATACAGAGTGTGTGTATCCCTGTGTCTCTGTGTTTTTCACTGGTGATGGACATTCATTGGGTGACTCCCTGACTCTGTACTGGGCGTGAACGAACACTCTGCTTAGTTTTGCAAATGATGCGAGAAGGTGATAGCCACTTTGTTCATTGCTGCGTTGATGGGTTCAAGTTCCTGTGTTGTTGGGCGTCTTGCTGTGTTGGTGTCTCGCCCGCCTACCTGCCAGTCCACTTGCCTTGCCTTCCAGTGCCTTCCACTGCCCTGCTGTTTGCCTTGCCGCCTTGCTGTGATGCCTCCCTGCCGTGCTGCCTTGCTGCCTTTGAACCTTGTGGCCCCTCGCCCTTGCTCCCTGCCATGCCTTGGCTTGCTCCTTTGTTGTATGTTCGCCCCTGCGCCTTCCTGCCCGCCCGCTTGCCTTGCTGCGTGCCTGGTGTGCTCATTTCCTTGTCTATGTTTCACTACATGTTTTCTCGTATCTACCCCATCCACAAAAGGGTCTGAAGCTTGGTTATAACTCAAAGCTCTGTGACAGCATCCTGGAGATTGTAGAGGGTTCGGAGTCCTGTCGAGTTGGTGCAAGTCTGACAAAATAGTCTTACCATCACTACTCTTCTTTGTATCCTGGATGCTGTCTGTTCTTCTCTCTGTTTTCGATGATAGGCTGTCTTGGTTATGGCCAGATATGGTTGATATACCATACATCACATGGAGCACATGCCACATGGTGTTCCATGGCATGCTATGAATTCTATGGATTAAGCTGAAACACACACACACACACACACACACACCTGTCTCTTATACACATCTAGATGTGTATAAGACCCCCCCCCCTAACAAGACCAGAGATGGGTATCTCTGGAATGACTCAAGAAAGGAAGGGGGTGTTGAAGCCTGGATTTGTTATACGTAGGAGTTCGGTGGAATTGCTGAGCGTCAATCGACCACACGGCGAATTTCTGAATCGACAAGAGCACAGAAAGCATCGTAATTCCCTGAGGAAAGTGCGTGCTTCAATTGATAATCGGCCCCCAATTCGACCTCGGCACCTGTGGAATAACAGAAAGAAAGCGCAGATAGAAGAGGAGCGGTTGTCGGCGATCGAGAGGGAGAATGGCATACTTCTGAGCAAACTGGCCAAAATTGCGTCCCATAAAGGGCCCGTGGGAATCACCATGTCCCACAAGAATCCAAGGGGAGCCAAGGCCTTGGGCAGAGGAGATGCATACAAAAAGGAGAGTATGAGAGAGGAGGTACGCCGCAAATGGTTGGAGCAAATTGCGCGGGAAAATCTCGTTATTCGGGAACGGATAAGGGCCAAACGATCGACACCGTCGAAACACATCGACGTCAGGCTTCTCGCTAAGGCCTGGAATGAAACTCTGAGATATAGGAAGCTAGCAAGTCGGTTTAAGCCCTACCTTTAGAGCACCAGAAAAAAAAAAAAAAAAAAAAAAAAAAAAAAAAAGAAGAAGGGGCGTTGTTGAAAGGAGCTCAAAGGGACAAACTGCTGAGTCTTTTATTTATTTATTTTTTTTTATTTATTTTTTTTTGGGGGGGGGAGAGGGGAATGGTTTGGGTGGGTGGGTGGAGAGAGGAGGAGGGGGGGGCGGGGGGTTGGAACTGCTGCTGGGGTATAGATAGGTAGCAAGTGTTTTTTGTTTGTTTTTGTTTGTTTTTGTTTGTTTTTTTTTTAAAATAGGAAGTGCTTTCAAGCCCTTCATTTAGCGCAATTGGAAAAAAAAAAAAAAAAAAAGGTGTGAAAAGGAGTACAAACAAATTGAGGTATTGGAAGCTCTGGTGAGTGAGAAGGCGTCAGATCGGGGGGCGAAAAAAAAAAAAAAGAAAAAAAAAAAAACAGAGGAGGAGGCAAGCTACCTAGCAAGTCATTTGAGCTAT